TGTGCCCAGCCAGGCCCGTGGGGAAGCAGGCCCTCCCTGGCTGGAGACCCCGGGAGAGCACTCATGGCTCCACCTGTGAAACGGGCCCCAGGGGTCTGTGCCGGGCTGGGCGCCACTCAGACGAAGCTGACGGAGGTCCCCTCCACCCTTTCACCCGCCTCTGGGTATGAGGCCAATGGCTTTTTGGGGGTGCCAGTCTCCTCCTCAGGAGCTTGGGGGGCCTCTCTCCCCACAATTTACCCTCTGCTGACTGGCTCCCCCGCAGGGGAATTCCTCAGACCCGCGTGGGCATCCGAACCCCCGGGGGCTTGTGGAGACTCAGGTGGCTGAGGGTCCTGAGGGTCCCGACTCAGCGGGCGTGGGTTGGGGCCTGAGACTGCGTTTTTTGCAGGGGTTCAGGCTGGTGCCGGTGCTGCCGGCGGGGAACCCACTTTGAGAACTACCGGTCTGCAGCTGTCAGCTTTCAGAGCGAAAGGCCCGTGTGGAATATTTTCAAAGCTGTCCACTCATTCCTCACAGAAAACAGCTCTCCTTCGGGCACACATTTCGTCATGCGAAGTCGTATTTAATGACATGACGTAATTATTTTGACAAGTTCCATGGGCATAAACAGGCTGGGCCGGCACAATGGGCTGTTGATGGGCCCGGCTCGGCGGAGGGCGGAGGTGGAGAGAGAGGCGCCGGGCGGCTCGGGGGCAGGAGCCCGGGCTCACCTGGCGAGCGGAGCAAGTGGGGTCAATGTCGAGCCCTCACTGGTTGCAGCTGTCGGTGACCTAACACTCAGGTGCACGAGGGGCATCTCAGAGGCACGGTGTCCCCGAGGGGGGACGAGAGACCGTCCTGCGGCCCTGCTCTGCTCAGACCCGCTCAGTGCGGAGCTCAGAACGTGGCCAAGAAGAGGCTAGAGGACAGCAAGCAGCGGGGCCACGACTGTGGAGTGGGGAGAGGGGCTTCAGGTGCAGTCTGATCAAGGTGCTCAATCCCTGTGGGACAGAGGAGGGAGGAGGACACTGCTCCCCGTGGCTCTGTAGGCAGAGCCAGGCCCTGTGAGTGACGTGGACGTTCTCCGGCCCCCCTGTTCCACTAGAACTGCGTCTCCCTCAGCGCCCCCAGCCTCTCCTCCGTAGCACAGATGACCGTGTACGATTCCAGACTTAATTCCTCTGATATTCTGGGCAGTGTCTGTGCCCTGCCCCCACCAGGAGCAGGAATAATCTGTCTCATCCTGGCTGTGACCCCAGCTCCCCTCAGGTGGTGCGCAGCAAGTGTCTTCCCTGTGAAGGTAGGGCCAGGGGGAAGGGCAGGGAGGAG